TGTGTTCCACAAAACCGACCGCCGACGCCAGTGGCCGAGAATCTTGAACCTGGTACCGAGGTGTCGATTCACACTTCAGCAGGTCATGCAGCGCGGCCTCGCGGCCTCTGAGAGTGGGTTAGGATCCTCCTGACAGACAGAGTTCCCAGTGAGCCAAGCTGCCCACCTGCCAGCCCAACCCCGTGCCAGCTCGGAACAGCCGTCAGCGGTCACCAGGAGGGGTGAGGCCCCAACACAAGCGTAGGAATTCGTTTTCTATCTGAGACAAGCCCCGCCGTGTAGCCCAGGCTGGCCCGATCTTGTGATCCTCCTGCCTCAGCCTCCCCAGGGCTGGAGGGACAGGCCCGGTCGTCACACCCTGCTGGCTTACCAGCTTTCTGACCCACCAGGCACCCCACGGAAGCTCGAGGGTGCAGGCAGCGTACCTCAGAGTACAGCGGAGGCGGGCGGTAGCGGAACTCCTGGAGACAGGCGAAGTAGGGCCCCTCCAGGGTCGCCCCCGGGTCGCACAGGGCGGGGCAGGGGCCCTGGGAGGCGGCTGGCGCCTGGCTCCCCCTCACCACCTCTGAGTACTCAGGAGGCGCTGGAAGGGAGACCAGACGGTGAGGCCCTGCGGCTGGCTTCTGGGGGACCCCGGCGGTGACGTGATTATACTAGGGACAGTGTCACTGTTGCCCAGGCTGACCCCCAACTTGCAGCAATCCTCCTGCCTCAGCTGGGATCTTGGACCCACTGTGGTTTTGACTATTGCTTCCTTTTGTTTTTGAGACAGGGTCTCATGCAGAGTGGTGCACAGTGGCAGGTCCACACTGTGTGCCTCAGTGACTGCCTGGCTTCAAGGGTCTGTCGCCATGGCGCCCAGCTGTGGCTTGGTGTTAGAGGCCGGGTCTCCTCAGCCCTGCCCGGCTTCTGAATGACTAAGTAGTGGACGTTGGCCTCGGTGTGCAGGGTGCTGGGATCGGACCCTGCTCACACAGGGACCCCAGGACTGGAGGGGCGGGGCCCGGGGCGTGCCTCTGCCCCCCTCGTCCTTGGCGGCTGGCTGAGCTCACCCTCTGGCCGCTCCATCCGGGGGCACAGGCCCCAGTTTTGCAGGAAGCTGGCGGAGCGGCTGCCCACGCTGGCCGAGCGGCTGCCCAGGGGGTGCAGGGGGACAGTGCCGATCACCAGCGGCAGCTCCAGCAGCAGCTTCGAGGAGCCTGGGATGTCCACGCAGACCTGAGGGAGCAGCAGCATGCGGACTGCCCACCTGTGCCCCCGCCCGGCCGGAACGGGAGGGGGGTAGGGCGGCTTGCTGGGGTACCTTGAGCGAGTAGTCCACAGTGAGCACGCGGCAGTGCAGGATGGACGGGCCCACGGGGGGGATGCGCAGCTCACGGCCGGGCCACAGCGCGCGGTGACCAGGGCCCACGGGCTCCCCGTCCACACTGGCCACCACAGCGCGTTTCTGCTTGCATGCCCCCCGGGCCATGAAGGTCTGCGTCTGCACCAGGGCGGCGCGGGGCTGCACGGCTCTGGTGGAGCCGTTGTCAATCTCCGCGAAGATGGGGATGGCCTCACCTGCAGCACGGGGCGGCTTGCCTCAGTTTCCCCACGGCTCACTTCCCGCTCCAGCAGCAGCCAGCCCCACCTGTTACCTGGAGTGTAGCCCTTGCGGTCGATCTTGGCTGACAGGGACACGAGGCCACGGGTGCAGTACCAGGACCGCGCCACCTTCTCCCGGGCCCCAGCCTGGGGCTCCTGTGGGGACATGAGGGTCACTCTGGGCGCCTGGACACTTGGCGCTTCTATGTCAAAGCGACCCCAGTCTCAGGAAGAAGCTGAGGCAGGGGGATTGGCGCCCGTCCTAGGTTGAATAAAAGATTAAGAACAGGAACAGGCGTGGCGGCGCACACCTCTCCTCCCGCAGCGGAGGCCGGAGCCCGCGGGTTACAGGGAGACCTCCAAAACTAAGAAGGAAAGGAACAAAAACAAACCGCGGAACCACACCACAAGGCCCTGCAAGCCCGTGGCGCCCCCCGGGCATCTGAGGCCGAGGGAGGGCAAGACGCGGGCGCAGAGCGCCCCGACAGGGGGATGCCCTCAGGGTGTGCACCCGGCCGCGGCAGGGTCCAGCGCCACCGACCATCAGAGGCGGGCGGACCGCAGCCCGGCCCCGGGGGCAGCCACGTACCAGCAGGGCGGGCGCGTTGATGTCCACGGGCTCGATGACGGTGAACACCTTCCGGGCGCGGCGCGCGGGGGCCCAGGGCCGGTGCAGGGTGGCCTTGATGGAGTAGCGGACGCTGCCGTGCTTGCCCTCGAAGGAGGTCACCAGGGAGCTGGGGTGGCGAGAGGGGGGCTCAGGGTGGGGGCCGGGGCACGCGAGTCCCGGGGTGTCCCGGGGGGCCGGCCGGGGCGACCGCGGGGCTTACGCGGGCAGCTGGAAGCTGAAGGGAAACTCGTGCCGTCCGGCGGGCAGCGTGGCGACGTCCCCGGAGTCTAGGGCGAGACACTGGCTCAGCGGCGGCGGCGGCGGCCGGGGGCTGCCCGCGAGCGGGGGCTGCTCCCCGCGGCCCGCCCCGGGCTGCTCCCCGCGGCCCGTACCTGGCGCGAGCAGCGTGGCGCGGTGGCTCACGACCTCCACGCGCTCGCTGTAACTCTGCGTGTACGCGGTGCTGGAGCCCGCGCTGCGCGACTCCGTCCAGTGCGCGCGCGCGCGGCCCCGGGCGCGCAGCCTGAGCGCGCCCACGCGCGCCGCGCCCGCCAGCTCCAGCAGAACCCGGCCCGCCACGGCCTGGCCCCCGCGGAACACGGGCTCGGCGCCCGCGCGCGCCCCGTCCAGCTGCACCGCGAAGGCCTTCACCTTGTCGAACAGCATCGCGCTGGCCGGCGCCGACCCCAAGGCGGGCCGACGCGGGGCTCGATCCCGCGACGCGGACCACCGCGAGCCCGGGAGCGCCGCGGGTTCGAACTACGCGGGCGAAGACGCCGGCGGCCCGCAGCACCCGAGGACCGTCAGGACCCGCGGCTGCGGCGCTTATATGGCGGGGCGGGGGCGGGGCCTGAGGGAAAGGCCGCGCCTACCGGAAGAGGCTCCGCCAAAAACGCCACTAGGGGCGGGTCCCGAGAGAGAAAGCCGCGCCCCCTCGGACAGACTGGGCCAATAGCGCGGCGAAGGAATGGCCTGAGGAGAAAGCCGCGCCTCCCGGAACAGACTCCACCAATAGCGCGGCGAGGAGGCGGGGCCTGGAAAGCCCGGCTTGGCTGAACTAGGCCAAAGGCTCCTCGAGGGCCGTGGCCTGAGGAAGCCGCGGCCTCTAGCAGGGATTCCGCCAATAGCGTGTGAGGGGCGGGGCCTAAGGAGACCCGCCCCTCCGGCCTGTACAATCGAGGGGGCGTGGCCTTGAGGAAGCCTCGCCTACCGGAACAATGTTCACCAATAGCACGGAGGGGGGCGTGGCCTCGCCGGGCTGGGTTCTTAGAAGAGCCGCCGTGGGCGCGAGGGTCTCGCAGAGCCGGGGTCGGCAGGGAAACTGAGGCCCGGAAGTGGGCCAGGGCCGAGCACACAGCGTGCTTTTGTTTTGGGGACAGCCCGCGTCAGCCTCCGGCGTGCGCGGCTGGCGGCGGTTTTCACTCCGTCGGGTCGTTTCGGGGCGGGACCTGAGCCCGGCCCGGGAGCCCCGTCTCCGCCGCGGGCCGGAAGTGACGCCTTCCCCAGCTGCGCACCCGTCGGCCAGGGGACCCCGTCTAAGGACAGCGTCTCCGGGCTCGATCCCACCCGGCTCGAATCCAGCAGACGCTCTGACACCGCGAGTTCGGGGCTGCACTGCGCCGGGGCGGCCTGACCCGTCCCGGGGCCCCGGTTTCCCCGAGGAGCGAGCCGCGGAGCGTGGCTCGGGAGTGCTGCGGCGTCGGCGGGCCGCGCGCGCCCCCCGGTGGACGGGGCGTGCACTGCGGCCCGATCCGCTCGGGCCTCGGGTCTCCCGGGTCCCCGGGGAAGGGGTCGGCCGGGCGGGCCGGGCGGGGGCGGGGGCAAGCCCTCCCGCAGCACGCCGGTCGCCGCCACCTCCCCCAGGTGCCGTCAGGGCTGCCCTGGGTCCCCGCAGATCTACCCGCTCCGCCGGGATGAAGGCGCAGCCTCCGCTTCTGCTCCGCCCACGTCACGGTCGGGTACACCGAGGCCTGGAGCCCGGACGCACGCAGCAGGCGCTGCGGTGGGAACTCCATCGGGGTACCCCAGGCTGGCTCATCGCCGGCCGTACGAACCCCCGCGGTCTCCTCTCAGTGGGAGACATTCCCATCCTACCCACAAACACCACCAGACCCTCCCCAACTCCAGGGAAGGACCCAGAGCAGCAGACGCGGCGAGGTAAACTGAGGCAGGGTTCTGGGTGCGGAGATAAGAATTGGGCCCCCGCCCCTGGAGGTCCTGGACAGGAGGCTCCGTAGCCCACCCGCGGTTCCCAGCGCCTGCACGGGGCCGGAATCCCCGCTTTAATCGAGGGGTCCCCCTGCGTGACCTCTACGTCCGGGTCGTCACAGGCCTGCACTGGGACATCCGGCCGCTGGCAGCCCTGATGTTTTCTGTGACCGTCCACTGTAGCCCAGGCTACCCTCCAACTCCTGCCTCAGGCTCCCCGGTGCTGGGGTGACAGGCGTGTGCAACCACACCTAACTTTTGAGTGTTGAAACAGGGTCCCGCGGTGGAACTCTAGATGGCCTTGAGCTCCGGGCAATCCTCCTGCCTCAGCTGCCTGAGTGTCTGCTGCATAGGGCGCCCCCCGCCTCTGCCAGCTCGCCTTTGGCGAAGCCGCTGCCCACGGCGCCCACGCTGCCCACGGCGCCCACGCTGCACGGCCCGTCCCCGGTTCCTGCCCCAGCTCGCTCGCTTGCACTCAGGCCCGGGCGGGGCCGACCCTGCGGACTCACGCCGCCCCGCCCCGCCTCCCCGCAGCGCACCCACCTCGGATCCTGCCCCAGCCTCTGTATGTGCGGAGTCTGAGAACTGTTGTCAAATGTCGCCACCGAGGGGCCCAGGTCACCTCCAGGCTTGTTTATTTCTGCCCCCCGAGTGTTGGGATTAGAGGGCTGCCACCGCCGGCCCTGTTTATTTCTCCCGGTTCTGTTTGACCCCAGTGGCCTCCTACAGGGCACAGGGTGAGCCCGGGTTCCCCAGGCCCTCGTGGGCAGTCTCGGGAGGGGCTGCTGGGCCTGCCTCTCCCTGGGACAGACGCCCGCTGCGGCAGGGGAGTGGAGCCCAGTTCCACCCACAGCTCCTCCCCACAAGCCGGGCCTCCAGGCAGCCGGCGCGGGGCCACTGTCTCCCGAGACCAGGGGGCTTGTCAGGCCCCACACCGGGTCCCGACTGGCCACCCATCCCTGTCAGGATCCCAGTGTTCCCCAAGTGCCCAAGGCCTGGAAGGACCCCGGCCATTCTGCGAGCCTGTAGCCCTGGCCTCCACCACCTCCAAGTCTGACCCTCCCACATGCCCTCACTTTGACCTCAGGACCAGCGAGTGGAATCTGTCCGCCCTTTGCGGTGTGTCTGCGGGAAAGTGGCCTCACCCCTCTGATCAGATCCTGAAGAAGAGGCATTGTACAGAGCAGGGACTCCATGAACCGGCAGTGGCCCACCGCTCAGGAACCCTCAGGCTGGGGCATCCACCTCCTCTGCGGAGGTGCTCGCGGGCCCCTCCGCCATGTGAACAGACGGCGGGTAGGTAGCTCCCGATTTACTTAGAAATGCCGCTACTCCTTGCCCTCCGGGGGCTTGGGACAGCCAGGGGGCCAGCAGGATCCCACGGTCCAGCCTCGGGGAAGAATGCCAGTTCTCTCTGCTCAGCTCCTCCTGGGCTTACAAATCCAGGGGCCTGGTGGTCAGAACGGCGAGGAGCCAGCCGCGGCCACACGATGGCCAAGATCTAGCAGTCCGGTGACCGGCAGCCGGCAGTCACCTGCAGTCCGACCCCACGGTGGGCAGACAGCGGCCTAATGGGCTCTGGGTGGCCGGCGCCGGGTGGCCGGGCCCCGGCCAGGGCGGTGGCAGAGGGCATATGGCTTGGGCGATGAGGCCCGGCAGCGCCTGCAGAGAGGCGCCCAGGGCGTCCAGGCGACTCTCCAGGGAGGCCAGGCGCGCCTCCAGCTCCTCCTGCTGGGCCTGCAGCTCGGACACGACTTCATACGCGATGCTCTGCGCCTGCGGAGACGGAGACAGACCGAGTGAGGGCTGAGGACATCCGGGGCCACCATGGGGTCCAAAGAGCAGGGACAGGGGCAGTTTCTGTTAAAGCAGCCGGCCGCTGTGACCGTGGCCAGCAGGGGGCGCGCGAGCACCGCCGCAGGGCACTGGGGCCACCCGGACAGATCCTGAGGCTCAAGACACGCTGACCCCGCCCGCCACCGTCCTCTGGGCGGCCACATCCTCGCCCAGGCTGGACCTCGCCTGTCCCCACTGTTAAAGAAACCAGGGTGTGACATTTGGAGAGACCCATGGCTGCAGCCGACCTTCAGAGGGGTCGGAGCCTTCCCTGCTCTTTTAGTTACTGGGACGGCATCGCCACGTAGCCCTGGCTGCCCTGGACTCGCTGTGTAGCCCAGACGGGCCTCACACCGGCAAACCTCTGCCTCCCAAGGGCTGGATTTAAAGGTTTACACCAGACCCAGCTTGACTTTTTATTTACTTAGTTTCGGTTTTCTGAGACGAGTTTCTCTGAGTCGCCCTGGCTGTCCTGGATCTCGCTCTGTAGACCAGGCTGGCCTCGAACTCACAGAGATCCGCCTGGCTCTGCTGGGATTGAAGGTGTGTGCCACCATGCCTGGTTTGACTTTTATTTTTATTTATTTATTTGTGTGTATATTTTCAGACGTGGTATGTAGTCTTGCGTAAATGCATAGTCCTTGAATGCAAAGCAATCATCCTACCGCACCTTCTGAGTACTAGAATAAACAATGTGAAATGAACCACTATGACCTTTCACTAACATCCCTGAACTCCAGAAACTGAGGCAGGAGGACCAGGAGTTCCAAGCTGTCCTTGGCTACAAAGTGAATTCCAGGCCATAATGGGCTACATGACACCCTGTCTCAAAAAACAACAAAAATAATTTAACAACTTCAGAAAATATTACTGAGGAGAACAGGGCTGTGAGGTGGAGCCCCACCTAGAATCCCCCAGTGAGGGGCTGGGGGCGTGGCTCAGGGTGGAGCCCCGCCTAGAATCCCCAGTGAGGGGCTGGGGGCGTGGCTCAGGGTGGAGCCCCGCCTAGAATCCCCCAGTGAGGGGCTGGGGGCGTGGCTCAGGGGTGGAGCCCTGCCTAGAATCCCCCAGTGAGGGGCTGGGGGCGTGGTCAGGGTGGAGCCCCGCCTAGAATTCCCAGTGAGGGGCTGGGGGCGTGGTCAGGGTGGAGCCCCGCCTAGAATCCCCCAGTGAGGGGCTGGGGGCGTGGTCAGGGTGGAGCCCCGCCTAGAATCCCCAGTGAGGGGCTGGGGGCGTGGCTCAGGGGTGGAGCCCCGCCTAGAATCCCCCAGTGAGGGGCTGGGGGCGTGGTCAGGGTGGAGCCCCGCCTAGAATCCCCAGTGAGGGGCTGGGGGCGTGGCTCAGGGGTGGAGCCCCGCCTAGAATCCCCAGTGAGGGGCTGGGGGCGTGGCTCAGGGTGGAGCCCCGCCTAGGATCCCCAGTGAGGGGCTGGGGGCGTGGCTCAGGGGTGGAGCCTAGAATCCCCAGTGAGGGGCTGGGGGCGTGGTCGGGGGCGTGGTCAGGGCTGGGGGCGTGGTCAGGGTGGAGCGCTGACAGAATCCTGGGCTGTACATACATATTCAACACTGGGTCTCTATGTAGCCTAAGCTATTCCTGACCTCCTGGCCTTAAGGATCCTCCTGCCTCAGTCTCTGGAGAAGCCAGGAGTCCCTGGTTTGTGGACTCGTGCCTGGAATATTAACCGTGAACTTAAACTGTAGAGCCAAGTTGAACAGAAACACTTGATGCGGCGTTGTGGGTTCCCAGCCCCCGGTGACGGGACACCCGACCTCTGGGTGCCCGCTGCTCCTCTCCCCGTCCTGCTCACCTTGGCCAGGTCGGCCAGCGTGTTGGCCTGGTCGTTCACCTTCCCCTGTTCAATCTTCACGCTCCGCAGCCTGGGGAGACAGGGTGAGGGCAGGTCGTTACAGCAGGCTGCAGGGCTGAGGCTGGGATGCATCTCCGAGTCTAGATCAGGCCCAAGGACCTGTTCACACCCCACCCTTGGGACGGACATATTCTCTGCCCACTGGGGACACACCTGTGGTGTGCCCCTCCCCATGTGTCCCCCGTCTCCCAATCAGCCCAAGACTTACTTCTGAGCCCTGGCAGGAGCCGGCAGAGCAGAGAAAAAGGAAAAGAGAGAAGCACAAGGCAGTTTTAATCCCATGTAGCAGCATGCTGCGTGCCCACCAGCACCCGTCCCCGGGCGACTCCCCAGCGCGGGCGGGGGTCCTGGGCTGCCTCATAAGGTGAGAGGCCAGGCCCTAGGGACACGTCTGCGCCATCACCCGGTGATTTCAGGCAGCCCTGGTGAGCTGCCCATCATTCATCCCGCGGCCTGGGAGGGGCGCCTGCCGGGCACCTTGCCTCCCAGGGCAGCGTGTTCAGGAAATACCCTGACAAGGAAACAGGCTGGCCAGGGCAGCACCACAGGGGTCAGGACACGGACGGGACTTGACCCCTTGGCTGCTGGTCAGGCATGGTGCCCTTTGACCCCTGGAGTGCTGTTCCCCACGGAGGGGGCTGCTGTGGACGGATTCCCCCAGAGGGCGTGACCCTGGCACCCGCTGAGCATCATAGCATCGCAGGCAAAAACAAAATGCAAAAGGACAGAGGGGCAGACAGACACACAGAACACATCCACAGAGGGGCAGACAGACACACAGAACACATCCACAGAGGGGCAGACAGACACACAGAACACATCCACAGAGGGGCAGACAGACACACAGAACACATCCACAGAGGTGCAGACAGACACACAGAACACATCCACAGAGGGGCAGACAGACACACAGAACACATCCACAGAGGGGCAGACAGACACACAGAACACATCCACAGAGGTGCAGACAGACACACAGAACACATCCACAGAGGGGCAGACAGACACACAGAACACATCCACAGAGGGGCAGACAGACACACAGAACACATCCACAGAGGGGCAGACAGACACACAGAACACATCCACATCCAGCACAGGAGCCCTGAGGATGGAGGGCCGGGTGCAGCCTTCAGAGGACCACCAGGACTGGAAAGACTCAGACCCACCCAAATGGCACGTGCCCTCAGGGTATTTTCCCAGGACTGTTCATTTTTTGGTTGTATTTATTTGATTTCCCAGGAGCTCAAACTCTAGTTGGGTTGTGGGGCTCTCTTACCGAGCCCCCCACCTCCCTGCCTCAGCCTGGGCTCTGCACCCTCCTGGAGCGGCCTCCCCCACCCAGCCCCTCCCCGCTCTGGGCCCTGATCCAATCTTGTTTGGCTTCAATGACTACTGTAGCACTTGGGGGAGGGGGTGGAGGGCAGGGCGACCCACACCGTCCCTGAGGGCACAGGTGACTCACGCAGGGACGTCCACCTGGACAGACTACCTCTCAGCCCCGCCCCTTTCCTCTTCCGGAATCTTTTCTAACATTCTCCAACATTGCTGGGGTCAGCTCTAGGGCACAGCCGAGTGTGGCTGAGGGCCGGGAGCGCAGGAAAAGGAGCTGCGAAGGTGCCGACTTACTGATGGATGGCTTGGAGGAACTTACGCTGGTGTTTCCGCACCCGGCCGTGGTCTGGCTTCCTCACCAGCCTGCTGTGTTTGTAGATGAGCCACGTCTCCCTGAGAACGTTTGCAGCGGCGTTTTTGACCTGGGGAGCAGAAGAGAACAGTTCCTTAGGGTCGTAATCAGGTGGCCTCAAACTTCTACAAACTTCTAGAAACCTCTGGAAATCCCAGAACCACCCGTCGGGGTTCTGCACTGTGAGCCAGGGGCGCGTGCCCGCATCTCATGTAGCCCGGGGGTCCGACTCTCAAATACTGGAAATGGGAATTTAGCTGCTCCGCATATGCTAGCTTCTTTTTGTTTGTGTTTGTTTTTGGTTTTTTGTTTTTCTGAGACAGGGTTTCTCTGTGTAGCCCTGGCTGTCCTGGAACTCACAGAGATCCGCCTGACTCTGCCTCCCGAGTGCTGGGATTAAAGGAGTGTGCCGCCACCACCCAGCACAGCAGTGGTTCTTAATCTGTGGGTTGTGGCCTAAGACCATCGGAAAACACAGATATTTACTTTATGATTCATATTTACTTTATGATTCAATAGCAAAATTATAGTTATGAAGTAGCAACAAAAATAATTGTATGGTTGGGGTCACCACAACATAAGGAACTGTATTAAAGGATCGCAGCATTAGGAAAATTGAGAACCACTGTTTTACAGGGTCTCATGTAGCCCAGGCTAGCCTGAAACTCACTATGTATCTGAGACTGGCCTTGATCGCCTGCCTCTGGCTCGTGAGTGCCGGGATGGCAGGCCTGGACTACCATGCCTGGTCCATGTGGAGCTGGGTGGGACCCAGTGCTCTGTGCATATAAAGCAAGCACTCTGCCAACTGGGCTCCAGCCCCTCGCTCATTTTATACATGGGGAAACTGAGGCATGTACACAAAGGGTGATGTGCAAATGCTGAAAAGTTCACGCCATGCACTTAGCAGCTTGTACAAAGCTGGTAGCACTGTGTTCTCCTCGGCTGCCGGCCCTTGTGTAGTGGCGTCTGGTAGAGTCATTGTATCTAGGGGACACTGGAGTGATACAGTTGTTTCCACTGTATCTCACTGCACTAGGGTAACGGGAGAATGTGCCGTTTGCTGAAGGTGCCTGGACCCTGAAGAAGTCCTAGTAGAGAACAGGGATTGTTGTCTGATTTACGGAGCGTTTTTCTGAAGGGATTTTTCCATCCCTTACAGGACTTTGGTCACAAGACTACCAGGCACACTTGAGGCCTTACTATTGGGTACTGCAGACCAGGCACGATAGGGACTGTTGTGGGGGGGGTGAGGACTCCTTCCCAGAACATAGAGTAGATCAAGGGGCTTTGGTATGAGGAACTTGTACACCAAACACAACCTTTGTGTACAATCAACAAATATGCTCCTGAACAGAGGCTCAACGTTCAGGTCACAGAAATGTTCCTCCCTACTGCCAGAGAGCCCAAGGTCACACTCGGGAGTGACTCTCCTTTGAACAGTCAACAGGTGTGCGACACCAACACAAGTGGACACGGGGCTGAGCCTGGCGCAGCTCTGCCATAGCCGCTGCGGTGACCCACAGACAGGCGTGCTGGCCCCCATGCCGAGGCCTGCAGGGGGGGCTCACCCGCTTGGTGAGCTGTGTGTCCATCATGAAGTTGTGCACGTGTTTCTCGGCCTTGGTGAGCTCCAATTTCCTGGCCACGACGGCCACCACGAGGGCAGTGCAGCCAGCTCCCTGTGTGGGACGAGGACATGTCAGTCCCAGCGCCAGGCACACCCTCCTCCGAGAAGCCCTCGGGGCCTGCCCCTCCGCCACAGTGAAACAGGGCACTGCCAATACCCAAGGGGTGCCCTCCACCCAGGGAGGGAGGAGGCAGCTGCTGGGCTCAGGCATAGTGCAGAGACCACCCTGATGTCTCATTCCTGGTCAGGTTAGTCTTTGAAGGACCCAGAAACTTCCTTTTGGGAAAAGTCATATTGACAAGGTCAAAGCAAGTAGCTGGAAAATTCTGTGAGGAATACTACAGAGTCAGGATAAAGGAGAGAGGGAGGGAGCCACAGGCAGTGCAAAGGAACACACAGCTGTGGGTTCTCTCCTAGGAGAAAGTGATGGAGGCCGGATATGAGAGAGACCGAAGTGTGAGCGTCTGCGCCCCAAAGGCAAAAGTAAGACTGTCAAAATAAGGGTCTGGGGTGTGGCTCACGCTGCTGGCTAGAGCTTTCTGGAAGGAGTCATACTTTTTTGTTTGTTTGTTTTTTGAGACAGAACCCAGAGATCCTCCTGCCTCTGCCTCCCAAGTGCTGGGGCTAAAGACGTGCACCACCACGCCTCGCAGGAGTCAAGCTTTTAAAGCTGTGTCCATTAAGGAATTGTGGTTAACTACAGAACTTTCTGGAAGGGGGCTGGCCCATTAGGGAATGCAGTTTTGCATTCCCCGCAGGCCTCTCTGGGATGGAAGGCTTCTGCTCCGGGTCTCGCAGTGGGCGGGCGGGCCCATGCTCATTTTCCCCTTTCTCCTTCTGGGTGGAACTCGGCCAGTGAATTAGCAAAGACGCCATGAAGCCTTTTCGGGAGAAAGGGGCACACGAGCTGGGCCTGGCAAGACCCAGCTGAGGTCTACGTGAATTAGAACTTTTTAATTTTAGTTTAATTTTGTTTTGAGACAGCATCTCACAAGGTGGGTCATCCTCCTGTCTGAGCTCCCCAAATGCTGGGATGACAGGCGTGTGCCGCCATGCCTGGCTCATGATCCTATTTTTGCAAGAATACATCACTGTGCCTCAACAGGAATGGTGGCCTGGGGGTCCAGACAGTTGTGTGGCCCAGAAAACTTGTTTAGCCTGTGGGAGTAGCGCTCACCTCTAGTCCCAGCACTTGGGAGGCGGACACAGGCGGGTCTCTCCGAGTCTGAGGCCAGCCAGAATTACAGTGAGACCTTGTCTCAAACAAAGACAAGAAAACCCTTGCTGAAAACAGGGGAAATCCGATGTCCCAAGTGGACCACACCTACCAAAGGTGAGAGCTTTTCCTTCCCGGGCTTCTAGAGTTGCTAGAGACAAACTTCTAGAGGTGCTCTCTGAGATCAGATGTGGGGTCAGCTGGGTTCTCTAGGCATGGTGAGGTGGCCCCAGAACTCACTAAACAAAACCTTGCAACACACAGAGCAGGTAGGGGGTGAGGTCCCTGTCTCCAGGGTGTGCGCAGGCAGGGGCCGCACTCACCATGATGCCGGTGAGCAGACACACGCCCTTCCCACAGTAGGTGTGCGGCACCATGTCTCCATAGCCGATGGACAAGAAGGTGATGGAGATGAGCCACATGGCCCCCAGGAAGTTGCTGGTCACTTCCTGCTTGTCATGGTACCTGGGGTTGGGGATAGACAGGGCTTCCATCACATGCCTAGCATGGGGACTGTTTCCCTGGGTGCTCACGGACTGGGGTGGGGGCACCACGCTCGCCCCCCCCCCGTGGTCCTTCCAGCCTCTCCCTTCCCTGACACTCACCTTGCAACCCGCCATGTCTGCCCTCCCTAACCCCATGACAGTACCAAGGATGGCCCAAAGGCACAGCCACATAGGGAAGACAAGCATTCAGGTTAGACACTGGGAAGCACTTCCCACACCACAGCCAGCGAGGCCTGAGGAACAGGACTGGGGAGACAGAAAGCCAGCAGGTGGCTGTAACGTGAGGAGAGAGGACCATGCTGAGGGACGTGCTGTCCCCAGCCTGAGGCCTTGGGTGTGGGAGGGACACCGGACAGCAGAGCTCTGCTGGAAAGGCATCCTGACATCTCACCTACTAGAGCTGTGGAGACTGGGTACCCGGCCTGGGGCTGGGACGGCAGGAAGTGGCTCTGGGGGTGGTGGTGAGGGACTTACCACGATCCTGAGTTTTCCAGAGATCATTCTGGTTTTTTGTTTGTTTGTTTGCTTTTGTTTTTCGAGACAGGGTTTCTCTGTGTAGCTTTGGAGTCTATCCTAGAACTCACTCTGTAGACCAGGCTGACCTCCAACTCAGAGATCCGCCTGCCTCTGCCTCCTGTGTGCTGGGATTAAAGGCGTGCGCCACCCCGCCTGGCCAGAGATCATTCTGTAGTTATGTTTTTTTTTCTTTTTGGGACTGGGCATCATGTAGCCCAAGCTGGCCCCAAGCTTGCTATGTAGTCAAGGATAACCTTGAACCCCTGATCTTCCTGCTTCCATCTCCCCAGTGCTGGGATGACAGTCTCCATTCCAGACTGCAGCTATGGGGATGCTCCATGGGACCCAGGTGTGGGGAGAGGACTTGCAGGGACAGGGCTGTGGGGTCACAGCAGGGTGAGGTGGCAAGCGGCAGAGGTATTTAAGAGGCTGCGTGCTCCCTCTCCTGGGCTCCCAGCTCGGGGGGTGGCCTGAGGAGAGCCCTGAGGTCCCACTCTGATGAGTGGGTCTGGGTGACAGGGACAGCAGTGGGCACATCAGACTCCCTGGGAACCAGTCTGATGCCTCGAGGACAGGAAGACAGAGTGAGCGTGGGCAGCTGAGCATGGGTCTCGCACCAAGGCCTTTCCCGACTAGCCATCGGGCGGATGGGCCTCATAGCCACCGAGGCACTCCTGTGCCAGTGAGGCTGCACCTGTCTCTGGTCAGGTGGGTAGGGGACCCCAGCACATCCCGTGACCCCTGAGGACCTCAGTCTCCTCCTCTGTATTTTCCCTCCCTCGCAGCTAATCTTAAACTCTTGGCTGGTGGAGTAACACTGGTGGCTGGGTGGCTGGGGTCACGGGGGGGGGGGGGTGCTTGCAGGGTGGAGGGGCCAGAGGTGGCTCAGATGAGGGTGGGACCCACATGCTCCCCCTGGGGTCCAGAAGGCCAGAGATAGGGAGGGGAAGTTAACATTAAACTTGAGCCTGTACCCGGTGGCCACAGCCCCGCGTCCTACCCCAGATCCCCAGAAATAAGAGTGGGGTGTCAGCACAGGGACCAAGGGTGGGGACAGCTCTGAGCCTGTGGCCCCTTCTGCTGGGCTGATTTCAGAGGCCAGCGTGGGATGCCTGGAGAAGGCTGGGGACAGAGTGATGGGTCTTCGTGGGAAAACAGAGGCCACAGGCAGGGGCAGACACAGTCCTCAGCCAGTGATGTCTACCCTGCAGGTCACAGGACGGAGGCAGAGGCTTTGCATCAGGGTTGGAGGATGGGAGGGCTGTCTGGAGTGAGGTGGGGACTTGGGGTCTGGGTTCAAGGAGGTGGCCCGCGGTCAGTCACCTCTCACACACGCGCACTGTCCAGGCAGCGACAATCCAGGAGGAGATGCTGAAGACCAAGAGCACGGTGCCAGGGCAGATGGTCATGAGTGTCTTGGTGACGAAGCGCGTGTTGAAGGTGACGCGGTTGAGGGCCCCGATGCTGCGGCTGGACGCGTCGGTGAAGATGCGACTGTGCAGAAGCATGACCCGAGCCAGCAGGTAGAGGCGCAGGAACATGGGGATGGACAGGAGCACATCCAGGTCGGCTTCAGCAGCCGAGGGCACCAGGGAGAAGGCCAGCCGCGCTGTCCACGTGAAGCGGTAGTGGCCGGGCACCGGGTGGATGGCGCACACGGCCAGCTCCAGCGAGATCAAGGTCACTCGCTCCCATGTCATGGCGATGCGCCAGTCATCAGCACCATTGTCCACCAGGAACAGCTGGAGGGAGGGAGGGGATGGCGGGGTGGCCCCCTGAGCATGGGGCCACCCCTCAGTGGGAGTGCTGGCCGAGGCCTCCGCCTCACCCAGCTCAGGATTTTGGACAAAGATTTTTGTTTGTGTATTTTTGAGAGAGGGTCTCATGTAGCCCAGGCTGGCTCTGAACGCCTGTGTTAGCCAAGGATGACCCTGAAGTCCTAATCCTCACACATCAGTGGGCCAAATGCTGGGATGACAGGTGCAGACGCCCCGTCTGGCTCGCTTGTTTGGCCATCTGGAGTCACGGTCTTTTCTTGGGCTGGCCTTGGACCATCAGCAATCCTCCTGCCTCAGCCTCCAAAGTGCTAGGATGATGGGGCATGTTGGTTTCTGAGTTCCAGTCCTAACTGAAAGCCAACCAAAGGTGCTCACTGGCAAGCCTGAGGACCCGGGTTCAAGTCCCGGGACCCAAAGAAATGGCGGCCACGTGCACACACGCACAATGAAAGGGAAAAGGAGGGAGGCTGGGCTCGGTGGAGAGTGCTCGCCTAGGTGCCCCGGTCTGACCGCCGGGACCACAGAGAATGCCCTTTTCAATTCCATCTTGCCCTGACCCCTCTGCTGGCGCCCGCTGTCACCCCAGCACCCGAGACGGTGACAGGAAAATCAGTAGTTTCCAGCCTGGGCTATGCGAGACCCTGACTCAAAAAACAGCAAACAACGCCCTGGAAAACAGACAGGTGTGGGGACTGGGGGTCGAGGGTGGGGCGCTATCCCCGAGGCCCACCCTGTGCCGGGCGCTGCCTCCCTGTACCAACCTGGATCTCTCGGGCGTGGTAGAGGATGACAAGGCCGAGCAAGATGAGGGTGGACAGGCTGATCAGGCATTTCAGGGCGAACGAGTACAGGGACTCCTGCACACAGAGAGGATGCTGCGGACTGCACGGCACCCTCCCAGGTACCGCCACCCAGGCACCGACACCCAGGCACCGCCACCCAGGCACCGCCACCCAGGCACCCGTTAAGTGGGGACAACTGCTGCCCAGATGGGGTCTGTCCCTGTGGCTTCCTGCTCTTCAAGTCTCGCTATCCCCAGAGCTCCTCGGGCACCACGTAAGGGACTTGGCAGTGGCCAGAGAACGGCCCAGTGTCACACACCCCTGCAGCTCCTGGCGACTTGTGCGTGCAGCCACACCAGCATCTCCCTCCTGCACCCCTCGTCCTTGGTCGTGGGGCCCAGTTAAGGCCCCCAACCCCAGGCTGAGCAGATGTGGGGACAGGGCCTACCTTGGTGTACACACCCCAGGACAGCTCTGTTTCTGTCACCATGACGACAATCCCAAACATGCCAAAGATAAGGGCGTAGTCACTGAGGCGTCTGCGCTTCTCAAAGAGGGCCCTGCGGTGTCCCAGGCGGTGGCTGACCGTCGGGGGCTTCCCAGATCCCGGCCGGGCCTCCTCGTCTTCCTCCTCCTCTTCTTCCTCCTGCTCCTGGAGATGGCCCCTGGGGCCACCAGGTGACAACCGAGCAGGCTGGCCCTTGGCCACCATCTGCAGGCCTGGGCCTTGGGCAGGCTGCGGGGGGCGGCCTGCCTCAGGGTCCACAGGCTCCCAGCCCAGGAATCCAGGCCCGCTGCCCAGAGGCCGCCCCACACTGCCATTGTGGCTGCGGCTACTCATGGCCACCTGCTCCCCGGGCTGGACTTGTGGCCGGCCTGTGGGGGCCCGGCATGGCTCAGTGGCGGGGCTCCCAAACAGACCTGTGGAGACAGAAGACAGTGAAGGTCACCATGCTCATTCCAGAACATTCCAAGGCCCGGGAGAATCCAGAGCACACGAGCATCTGCGAAGGGCTGGTCAGTGTACGCCTTCTGCTCAGAAGCCTTCTGTGGTCCCCGGTACCCCAGCCTCTCAGACCCCAGCATGCCCTGTATCCACCCCTTCCCCTCAAGAGGCTGAAGCGGCTGCGGGTGAGGTGGTGGCCTGTGGGTCCGAAAGGCCCGTTGCGTACCACTCTCCACGCCCCACGGATGAAGAAGCAGTTTGGGGCTGTGACTCAGCTGCCCAACACACGTGCCAAGCGCAGCCCAGGAGGGGCCATTGGTTCCCTGGAGACAGCCTCCTCCTGGACACAGGATGGCGGCTCCACAGAGGGAATTCACCTGCGTGACCAGACCTGCACTCACTCTGCGTTTTGAGCCTCCAGTCAGAAGGGCTGTCTGTTGCCCCAGCACAGGGCAAATCCTGGCCCCACTTCATAAAGAGAATCAAGCTGAGGGAGGCCGGGCAGCCGGCGGGGCGACACAGCCCGCAGTGTTGGAGCTGGTGAGCACCCGCCCGCGGCGTGGGGCCACAGGCAGAACCCAGGCTGCGAGAGGGAGCCAGCCTGGTCCTGGCGGGCTGTGAGCTGGGGACACCAGGCCGGTGACTAACCAGTGCCCTTCTTTCACCTGGCCCGAAACACCAGCCCTGCCCATTCCCTCCTCCTCGCTCTCCCCCGTCCCTCTGTGATTTCATTTATTCATTTATTTACTTTAAAAATAGGCTGGCCAGCCCAGGACGGCCTTGAGGCACGCACCAAGCGCTGGGGTGGCAGGTGTGAGTCGCTGTGCCCAGTACGGTGCCACGTACCCCGCCTAAGCAACTGGGGAGGCCGAGGCAGGAAGCTCTGGACTTCAAGGACAGCCTGTGCTACATGAGACCGTCTCAAAATAAAGTACAATAAAATCGGACCAATAGGTGTCCCTTGCTGTGAGTCCCAAGCAGGGCCCCACCTCCCCGCACCCCTTCACAGGAACCACAGTGAGAACGGCCCACGAGGAAAATTCCCAGAGCGCTAGACCGTGCGGGGTGGCCTCCCCAGCGGCCGGAGGACGCACGAGGCGAGGAAGGACCCCAGGGCCCTCCTCAGCAGGCTCCCAGGCTCCCCGGGGTGACCCGCTCTGCTTGCCCTTTGCCCATCGGCTGCCAGGGAGCTTACTGGGCCCAGGCTGGCAGCCCGGGCGCTGTCACTGAGCCCCCCGACCCCGGTTCAGCGTGGCCCGCGAGCACGTGCTCAGGCTGCACCACATCCACTCTGTGCACGGACTTCGTGGACTCAGCGTCCCCCGCTCGCAACCTCCCCTCCCCGGGGGACACGCGCACCCGCTCTCCCGTGTCCCTGACCCTGATCCCGCGGCCACACCACCCGCAGCTGCGTCCCCAGCCGCGTGGCCCGGGGACTCGATTACCGACCTCCCGCTCCCTCGCGCCAGTACCTGCGGGCGACGGCGGGGACCTGGACCCGCGTGCCAGCGCGTCCCCGCCGCGGCCGGCCGGGGTGGGGGACAGCGCCCGCCCCTGGTGAGCGGCGCCTCGGATTGGCTGAGCGCGCCAGGCCCCGCCCCCGTGACCCCGCAGGCCCCGCCCACGCGTAAAGCTCCCTCCTGGGCGCTCGGCAGGAAGGGGGCCAGGTGACCGGCCGGCGCCGCGGGGTCCCGCACGCCGGGGACCGCGCCGCTGGGGACAGGCCGGCGGCCCTGAACCCCACAGCCTCGCGGGCAGGAGAGCTCCGGGGATCTGCAGCCATGGGGCTGGGGAGACCCCACACCTGCCGTCTGCCCCCTCCCCAGCCAGCCCTGCCGGGCTCCCACGTCCAAGTTTGTTTTGAATTAGGGTCTCATGTAGCCTAGGCTGGCCTCAAACTCCTCCTGCAGCCCAGGCTGCCCAGAACTTACCGGACAGCCCAGGTTAGCTTTAACTGGCCTTGTAGCCAAGGATGACCTAGAACTCCTGCGCCTTCCCTCCTGCGCGCCCGTGGGACAGGCTTGGGCCACCCCACCCAGCCAAGGCTGATCTCGAACTCACTCACTGAAATCCTCCTGCCTCGGCCTTCTCGCTAGGGTGCTGAGGTGTCAGGTGTCTCCTAAGGGGTGGCCCCGTTCTTCCCCCTGCCCCAAACCATGCGCGCCCGGGGCAAGGCTTCCCTCCAGGCCTCTCAGCTCCCCAGGGAGGACTGCGGGGGTGGGGGGGGTGGGGGGGTGGGGGGAGGGGGGTGGGGAGGGAGGGGGCGGCAGGTCTGTGCCCAGGAGCTGGGGGCGGCGCTGAGCCACAGCAGAGCCACCCACAGCTCAGATCCAGAATCAGCCACAGTGACCGTCAGCCCAGGGGTCACTGCCACATCTGCACGACCCACACAGGTGGACCCAGACGGGGCTAGCCTGGGGTGACAGGCCTTGGCGACCCGCTGGGGCAGGCAGCACCGTGCTCTGTCTCCAGCCCCTGAACCTCCTGCCCCCGGGCCACCTCACCCTCGTGTGACTGCGACCTCCTTGGACCACCCAGGAATCTTTATTTTTTTCCTTGAGAAAGGGTCTCGTGTGTGGGAGGCTAAGTCGCTGTAGCTGAGGATGACCTTGAACTTCTGATCCTCCTGTCTTTACCTCTTGGGTGCTGGGATGACAGGCAGGTGCTACCAAGCCCTATCTGAGCAATGATGGAATTAGGGATTCACAACACCAGGAAGCCCTCCACCAGCTGAGCCAGAAGCACTCTACAAACTAAGCTATAAGCACTCTACCAACCGAGCTATAAGCACTGTACAAACCAAGCTACAAGCACTCTACCAACCGAGCTATAAGCACTCTACAAACCAAGCTATAAGCACTCTACCAACCGAGCTATAAGGACTCTACAAACCAAGCTACAAGCACTCTACCAACCGAGCTATAAGCACTCTACCAACCAAGCTATAAGCACTCAACCAACCGAGCCGCATCTTCAGCCTCTTTGATGAACATTGACCAAGCTACCTACAGTTCCCGGGGACTGGGGTCACGCCCTCGTTTGCCCTCCTTCGGTCCCTAACTCACCACGCACCCCCCTGGTGCCCAGGGCCGACTGTGGCCTCCCACGCTGACCACGTTCACCATCGAGTCCCCCGAGGACTTCACTGCCTCGGCAGCCGCGTGTCTGAGCTGTTTCCTCTCGGGGCCACCTTGCCTTCCAGGAGGCCTCCGAGGTCGCCCAGCAGCCAGCTGGGACCCGTGAGGCCGGCGGTGGCCATGGGGCAGGGGGTGAACGGCTGCACCTTCGTCCTAGGCCCGCTCGGGCCGTGGGGCGGGGACCTGCGGAGCCTCGGGCACACACGACGGCACCCGAGACGCCGTGGGACGCCTGTGACAGGAACTGTCCTCCGGACACCGCCGGGCAGGAGGCCCTCGGGGCGCTGGGCAGCCCTGGGGGACCCGGTCACTCCTCCTGCCGCCGTTTCCCACCAGCCAAGCCACACGCAGGCTCTGAAGTCAGCTGGTCTCGGGGTCACAGCCGTCACCCAGACCGCAGGGTCCGGAGTACAGGCCAGCCCTCCCTACGCAGACAGGAGGCCAGCCTGGCCACAGCCCGGGCTCAAAACCAAAAACACCGTGAGAGGGACCGGGTCACGACTGCCTTGGCGCAGAGTGTGCGAAGGCCCTGGGGCAGGAGGGGAGAAGCACATCACAGGGGGGAGAAGCACATCACAGGGGAGAAGCACATCACAGGAGAGGAGAAGCACATCACAGGGGAGAAGCACATCACAGTGGGGAGAAGCACATCACAGTGGGGAGAAGCACATCACAGGGGGGAGAAGCACATCACAGGGGAGAAGCACATCACAGGGGAGAAGCACATCACAGGGGAGAAGCACATCACAGTGGGGAGAAGCACATCACAGGGGAGAAGCACATCACAGGGGGGAGAAGCACATCACAGGGGAGAAGCACATCACAGGGGGGAGAAGCACATCACAGGGGAGAAGCACATCACAGGGGAGAAGAAGCACATCACAGGGGAGAAGCACATCACAGGGGGGAGAAGCACATCACAGGGGAGAAGCACATCACAGGGGAGGAGAAGCACATCACAGGGGAGAAGCACATCACAGGGGAGAAGCACATCACGGGGGAGAAGCACATCACAGGGGAGAAGCACATCACGGGGGAGAAGCACATCACAGGGGAGAAGCACATCACAGGGGAGAAGCACATCACAGGGGAGAAGCACATCACAGGGGAGAAGCACATCACAGGGGGAGAAGCACATCACAGGGGAGGAGAAGCACATCACAGGGGGAGAAGCACATCACAGGGGAGAAGCACATCACAGGAGAGAAGCACATCACAGGGGGGAGAAGCACATCACAGGGGAGAAGCACATCACAGGGGAGAAGCACATCACAGGGGGGAGAAGCACATCACAGGGGAGAAGCACATCACAGGGGAGAAGCACATCACAGGGGAGAAGCACATCACGGGGGAGAAGCACATCACGGGGGAGAAGCACATCACAGGGGGGAGAAGCACATCACAGGGGAGAAGCACATCACAGGGGAGGAGAAGCACATCACAGGGGAGAAGCACATCACAGGGGAGAAGAAGCACATCACAGGGGAGAAGCACATCACAGGGGAGAAGCACATCACAGGGGGGAGAAGCACATCACAGGAGAGGAGAAGCACATCACAGGGGGGAGAAGCACATCACAGGGGAGAAGCACATCACAGGGGGGAGAAGCACATCACAGGGGAGAAGCACATCACAGGGGAGAAGCACATCACAGGGGAGAAGCACATCACAGGGGAGAAGCACATCACAGGGGAGAAGAAGCACATCACAGGGGAGAAGCACATCACAGGGGGGAGAAGCACATCACAGGGGAGAAGCACATCACAGGGGAGAAGCACATCACAGGGGGGAGAAGCACATCACAGGGGAGAAGCACATCACAGGAGAGGAGAAGCACATCAGAGTGGGGAGAAGCACATCACAGGGGAGAAGCACATCACAGGGGAGAAGCACATCACAGGGGGAGAAGCACATCACAGGGGAGAAGCACATCACAGGAGAGGAGAAGCACATCACAGTGGGGAGAAGCACATCACAGGAGAGGAGAAGCACATCACAGTGGGGAGAAGCACATCACAGGGGGGGAGAAGCACATCACAGGGGAGAAGCACATCACAGGGGAGAAGCACATCACAGGGGAGAAGCACATCACAGGGGAGAAGCACATCACAGGGGGAGAAGCACATCACAGGGGGAGAAGCACATCACAGGGGAGAAGCACATCACAGGGGAGAAGCACATCACAGGGGAGAAGCACATCACAGGAGAGGAGAAGCACATCACAGGGGAGAAGCACATCACAGTGGGGAGAAGCACATCACAGGGGAGAAGCACATCACAGGGGAGAAGCACATCACAGGGGAGAAGCACATCACAGGAGAGGAGAGGCACATCACAGGGGAGAAGCACATCACAGTGGGGAGAAGCACATCACAGGGGAGAAGCACATCACAGGGGAGAAGCACATCACTGGGGGAGAAGCACATCACAGGGGAGAAGCACATCACAGGGGAGAAGCACATCACAGGGGAGAAGCACATCACTGGGGGAGAAGCACATCACAGTGGGGAGAAGCACATCACAGGGGAGAAGCACATCACAGGGGAGAAGCACATCACAGGAGTGGGAGGCACACACCTCGGGGAGCTGATTCTGGGCTCTCTGGGGCTCAGAGGTCTGGAATTACCCATCAGCGTCCTTGGGCCTCCTGCATACAGAGCTTGTACCCTCGGGGACAACGCAGACCCCCAACCAGCCCTGGGAAGGGACAGGAGGCCAGTGACAGGGAGCCCTGGTGGCCCTCACGCCCAGGCCGCTCCAGGAAGGTACCCCCACCCCAGCGAGCAAAGCATCGCCATCAGGCACAGGGGGCGGTTGAATCCCTGCCCCCTCGCCCTGCATGCAGCAGGCACCCCTCTGTCCCCACACTCAGAGCCGGGCCACCGACGGCTTCCCACAGCGTCACTCAGACGCCCAGCTACAGTTTCAGCAGCAACCCTGTGCACACCCGCATTTCTGCCCCCAAACTCCGGTGTGACCGTCCTCAGAACCGACACTGAGGTTTTTGGTTTTTTTTTTTTTTTTTTTTTTTTTTTTTTTTTTTTTTTTTTTTTTTTTTTTTGGTTTTTCGAGACAGGGTTTCTCTGTGTAGCTTTGCGCCTTTCCTGGGACTCACTTGGTAGCCCAGGCTGGCCTCGAACTCACAGAGATCCGCCTGGCTCTGCCTCCCGAGTGCTGGGATTAAAGGCGTGCGCCACCACACTGAGGTTTTTAAGGTGAGGTCTCCGTCTGTACCGTGCACACAGTGCCGCCGTGGACCTCACATGTCTGCTGACTGGCTAACAGAGCCGACGCCAGCTCAGGGCTGACCTTAGACGTCGGTCAGGAGTGGAGGCTGAGGGGCCGCAGGCTGTGTGCCACTGAGCAGGTCACCGACCTCTCTGAACGGCTTTCCACGGCTGCGGAGAGGACAGAGCGCTACCCACCGCAGAGAGGGCATCCCCGCGTCTGCTGGTGTCCTCCGGAGCCGTCACTGCTCCAGGCCTTTCCCTAACCACAGGAGCTTCGCCATTGTTTCTGTAGGTCTTTAAATTTTTTATTTTGCTTTTCCTTTGTTTTCTCTTTTGTTTGATTGGTTTTTTTTGTTTGTTTGTTTTTGTTTTTTTGAAACAGGATCTCACCATGTAGCCCTGGCTGTCCTGGATCTCACTCTGTAGACCAGGCTGGCCTCAAACTCACAGAGATCCACCTGCCTCTGCCTCCCGAGTGCTGGGATCAAAGGCGTGCGCCACCACCGCCCGGCCCTTGCTTTCATGTTTCAAGACAGGGTCTTATATGGTCCAGGCTGGCCTCAACTTCACTATGTAGCCAAGGATAACCTTCAACCTCAAATCTTCCTGGTTCCGTCTCCCATGTGACTAGTTTTCGCAGTCTGGAAGTGGAAGCCAGGGTTTGGTGTAGACCAGGCAAGAGCCCTACCAAGTGAGCAGCAGCCCCAGACCTTTTAAAATATCTAATTGAGAGGGCTGATGACCACAGGGCACCTCACTAGCAGCTGCAACTCCAATTCCAGGGGATCCAACACCCTCTTGGCCTCCGAGGGCAGCATTGCATGTGATGCACAGATATACGTGCCCAAAATGCTCATGAAAAGAAATAAACTCTTAAAGTTTTGTTGTTGTTGATTTTCAAGACAGGGTTTCTCTGTCGCCCTGGCTGTCCTGGAGCTCCCTCTGTAGACCAGGCTGGCCTCAAACCCACAGAGATCCACCTGCCTCGGCCTCCTGAGCCTGGGATTAAAGGTGTGCACCACCGAGCCTAAAGTGGTCTTTTGTTTTTGTTTTTTTAATTAAGGACTAGCAAGACGGCTCAGCAAGAGCACCAGCTGCTCCCCCAGGGTCCCCAGCACCCACATCGAGAGGCTACCTCCCATAATGCCACCTGCACCACACAGACACACGGATGCCCACACAGACACACGGATGCCCACACAGACACACGGATGCCCACACAGACACACGGATGCCCACACAGACACACGGATGCCCACACAGACACACGGATGCTCACACAGACACACGGATGCTCACACAGACACATGCTTTAAAAGAATCAAAATTAATTCTTTAAAATGTTTTAATTGAATTTAAGTTTTGGTGTGTGTGTGTGTGTGTGTGTGTGTGTGTGTGTGTGTGTGTGTGTGTGTTGTCTATAGGGACAAGGTTCATGTCACCCTGGTCTCAAACTCACTAGAGTCAAGGCTAGCCTCAGACTTCAGAGCCTTCAGTATCCAACTGCCAGTGTTGAGACTTCCCGCAGCAGAAAGGGCCCGGCCTGCTGGCTTTATTTATATTTTGTGTGTGTGAGGGGGTGTGTCTCTGTGTGTGTTGTGTCTCTCTGCCTGTGTGTGGGGTGTCTCTGAGTAGGCCAGAGTGTCAGGTGTCTGTCATCACTCTTAGCTTTATTCCCCTGAGGCAGGGTCTGTCACCGAGCCTGGAGCTGGGCTGATAGCCAGCGAGCTGGCCATCCTCCTGGTCACACCCTGCTCTTCCGGTGTGTGCTGCAGATCCACACCCGGGTCCTACGCACTCCCTCTCACCAGTTAGCGGCCTCCGGTCGGTCTACCTTTCTTTTCTGTTGCTGTTTTTTTGAGACAAAGTATCAATCCATAGCCCAGGCTGGTCCCCCACCTAAAATCCTCCTGACTCTGCCTCCCAAGCGCTGGAACGAAAGGCCCCAACCATAGACCTGGCAGTCACCAACTTTCCTGCCCCCAAAGGTGACCAGGGCTAGGAAATGCACCCTGGGGGTCAAGGGGTGAATTCCAAGGGCTCTGGAAGGCACTCACCTGAGGCCCGTGTTCTTCAGTCCCTCCAAGTTGCCCCTCAGCAGCGGAACAGCTCCGTCTGTGTTTTTCCTTCTCTGCACCTGTGAGGATCAGACGTGGGTACCAGATGGGACAGGACCACAGCATTCCTCTTTTGCTTTGTTTTTCGAGACAGGGTTTCTCTGTGTAGCCCTGGCTGTCCTGGATCTCGCTCTGTAGACCAGGCTGGCCTCGAACTCACAGAGATCCGCCTGGCTCTGCCTCCCTAGTGCAGGGATTAGAGGTGTGCGCCATCCAGCTAAAGATCGATTGATCCCTAAGCGTGGAGACCCCCAGCTTGAGCCCATTGAGGCGGGAAGATCTCAGGTTCCAGAACAGCCTGAGCGGCCAAGTAAGATACTGTATTTAATAAGCCAAAGAAACAAACAAACAAAAAATCAAAACAAAAACCCAAGTTGGACAAGGTGGCCCACGCTTTTAATCCCAGCACTCAGGGTGCAGAGAAAGGCCAACCTTTGAGTTCAAAGCCAGCCAGGGCTTCGTTGGTGAGGCTTTCTCCCAAAATACGATGAAATGCTTCATTTGTCAATGACGCCTTGGGGGTCCTCAGAGCTCCCCCAGGCCCATGCCAGAGGCCTCACCCCCCCGAGCCTTGGGCCTGCATACTGCCTGTTCCCAGCACCCTCCTTTCCCTCCACCTCCTGGTCCCCCCTCCCAGTCCCCCCTCCTTCGGTGCTGTGAACTTGAACGTGACACATTTCTCTTCCTAGGACGTGGGCAGGGGGCAGTGGCCACGGGGTAGGTGGCTCAGGTTTCAGTTCCTTGGGGCTGAGGGTGGCTGGAGAGGGCAGGGGCTGCCAAGGTCACTCTGCCCGCCCCTCTAGACACCCGCCCCCTGGGCTTTTCTCTGCTAAGGTTTCCGGCAGCCTCCAAGCTCCTTCGTGGCCAGGTCTCTCGTGAGCCCTGGGGACCCTAACTTAATCCCCCTAATTGCTGGAAACCAGGTGGAGGGGCCTCACACCCCACGCTCAAGGATAAAGCAGGATGGGAAAAACCCAGCTAGGACCCCCTCTGTGGGAGCTAGGCTCGTGACTGCTCTGCCCCCCCCCCTTGCTGGGTGACCTTGGGTGAGTACTAACCCTCTCTGGACCTCCCAGCTACCCACCACAGGGGGCTGACTCCGAGAAAGTGAGAGGAAAATCCTGTGGGTCATCTCCGAGGCTCCCACCCGCCACAGCTGGGGGAATCCCCACCAAACGCAGGAGCCCATGCCCGAGGAAGGGGCTACGGGGGTCTCGAGGACTGCCACGCTGGGTGACTGGCAGTCCCCAGCCTCACCCTGGAGCTCAGCCCCTTTCCTCGGGGACTCAGGGTTTGTTCTGGGGCAGTCTCAGCTCCCGGTGGTCTGGGGAAACGAAGGGACACCCCGTGGTTCCCCCAGGTCTCCGGAGCGCCGGCCGACTTAGGGAAACCCGGTAAAGAGACACCCCCACCTCATCACCCTGTCATCCCGCTCCCCCCATTTCGGTCTGTAACTCACCAGCAGTCTCCGGCCTCAGCTGCTGGAGCCCCTGCGTCCCGGGCCAAGAGCAAAACCAAGTGAACAGGCGGCCAGGCAAGGGCGTGAGAACCGAGGTGTGCGCGCCGCCGCAGCGCGGACCCCGGCCCCCGGCCGCTGGGGACGGTCAGGATTCCCCTCCGGCTCCCGGCGCGCTCCTCGCCGAGGCCCAAGACAGCGACCCAGGACACTCCAAGGGCTGGGGCCACCGCGGTGGCCGCTGGCTTAAAGCGCTCAGTTTGCAGACGGGGGAAACTGAGGCTACGACAGGGAATCCCGGCCCCTCACCCCAGCTAGGCGCAGCAGCGTGGCCTCCCCCAGGGGACTGCGCTTCAGGAGGAAGCTGAGCCCCGGAGGCCGCCGGGGACGAGTCTGGGGCAGGGGAGGGTCAAGGGGAGGGACGCCTGGAGACTCCCGCAGCTGGTGACGCGGCTGGAAGGTCCTGGTTAGGAGGGGAGGGGGGTCTAAGTGACCGGAGAGGCAGGCAGAGAAACTTCTCCGTCCCCGTGTCTGACTGGGAGGCGCCGCCCACGCAGCCGGGGTCCCCCCTGCGCCCCTAACGGCGGAGGCCGGGGTGGCGGGACCGTGAAGGTCAAACCACGCAGACAGAACAATGCGCCTCGGGGGGTCTGGAGTGCTGAAGGCGCGGGCAAGCAGAGCCTGGGCTGGGGAGAGGCCGGAGACCCCTCTGGTGATCTTGACCAGACCCAAGCCTCAGTTTCCCCAGCCCTCCTCTGGGGTGGCTCTCTAAATTGAGATGTGGGCCGCTGACTATGCCTCGCTTTGTCTTCTCAGTGGCGTCCCCCCGCCCCCCTCGTAGCCGCTCCCTCTAGGCCACACCCTGGAGCACCCACCCACCTTCTGCCACGCGCTGAGGCAGGGGTATTTCCTCCTGGGAGCGCCGAGGCCTCTAAGAGCCTCCATCAGTTTTCATTGTTGTTGTTATTTTGGTGTTTGTATTTTTTCCTCCCCCTTTTCTTCCATTTGTTCTAAAAATAGCCGTCCCCTCTGGCCGCCGCCGGTCCCCCGGCCCCGCAGCGTGTCGTGAGCTGCGCCGCGCTCCGCGGCGGCCGGGGATTCCGCGGACGGGCGGGGCTGGGATGCGCCGGCGACACGCGCGGGCCGTGAGCGCCCCTCCCACCGCGGAGCCGCGGGAAGGCCGGGGGAGGACAGGAGGGGACTTCGGGGTCCAGGGCCCGGGAGGGCCGCGGATGCGTGCTGCCCCCGACACCTCCCTACGCCGTCCCGAGGCAGAAAGTCGGGAAGCGGTGGGGACAAAGGACTCCCATCGTTGTGGGACCCTGAACCTTACGTCGACCTGAGCGGAGTCCCCGAGCCGCGGTTCACGGACCATCTGCCTGGTGACACGCCTTGCTGGCCCGGCGACAGGTCACATCCCGGGCCGCACACCCCCCCACTCCCTGCAAGCGAGAAGACCAGCCTGAGTTCTCCCAAGCCCCATAGTCTTTCCCAGACCCCTGGGTGACCCCTGGCTAACCCCGGCGTCCCTCGGAACCGGTCCAGCCTGGAGACCACAGCACTTGGACCCTTTGGCCAGCTCCGTCCTGTGACAACTGCTCCCACCCCTCTTCACAGCCTCGAGGTGACCGCCCCCTCCCGGCGATCGTACGGGCCACCTCGCCAGGGCTTCAGGTCCCCGAGGCTCTCCGTTCCCGGTGCATCCATCCTCCTCCCCAGGAGAAAGAGGAGCCAAAGGCCACTTGGGGGGCGGGAGCTGCACCTGGGGTGACCTAGCCTCAAGGAAGGGGCGCTGCGCAGAAGCGCCTGGGCCCGGAAGGTCCTTCCTGCCCTCCGCAGGGCGTCCCCGAAACTTCAGTAACAGCGGGGCCGCCCCGCCCGGGGGACCGAGTTCAGGGTGTCGCCGGCCGACCCTCCTGCGGTTCACAAAGGAGGGAAGGAAGGAAGCTTTGTGCTGAGTACAAAGGCGCGAGGCAGTCTCGTCCCTAGAGGTAGCCTCGCGGCGGCCCACGACAGGAGACTGCCCCTCGGCGCACGGCCAGCGCAGATGCATCTGCGTGATGCGTCGGGAAGGGCGCAGCCAGGTCGGGTCCTGGCGGACACCAGAGGCGCAGCCCCAGGGCCGGAATCCCGGGAGGGGCGCGGAGCTCCGTGCACACGGCACGTTCTAGTACTCTGCTGGAGTTCACGGCCGGGGGATGGGCACGCGAGGAAGTGGAGGGGTCTGGGGGGTCCGGGGAGATGGTGGAGGATGAGAAGGCACAGAGGGATGGGGGTGGGGGGGGTGAGGAGCCGAACGACGGCTGCAGGCTCTGCGCCCTGCATTCTATTTTCATCTTTAGACGAGGCCTCACGGGGCCCGCGCTGGCCTCGAACAGGGGTGCCCCGCGGTGCAGGGCCGTGCAGGGCCGTGCAGGGCGGTGCAGGGCGGTGCAGGGCCGTGCAGCCGTGCAGGGCGGTGCAGGGCCGTGCAGGGCCGTGCAGCGCGGTGCAGGGCCGTGCAGGGCGGTGCAGGGCCGTGCAGGGCCGTGCAGGGCGGTGCAGGGCCGTGCAGGGCGGTGCAGGGCCGTGCAGCCGTGCAGGGCCGTGCAGGGCCGTGCAGGGCGGTGCAGGGCGGTGCAGGGCCGTGCAGGGCCGCGAGCTCCGCAGCTCCCGGGGCGGGCGGGCCCGGGACGCCGGCTCTGTTCACAGCCCCGCGGGTCCCTTTGTCCCCTTTGGTCTCCGCCGCGTCGGCGCGGAGGGGGAAATCCCTGCTTCGGCGGCGCATGCGCACACCCGCCCGGCTTCCCCGTCGCCCTGACTCGCAGCCCCCGCGCGGTTGCCATGGCGACCGCGGGCGGGAACGTGGGGAAGACCCCGCTGGCAGCCCGCCCCCGCCGCCCTCGCGGGAAGCTCCACTCTGGTTCGAGCCGGTTTCCCCGGACCGCGTGGGCGCTGGGGTGGAGGATTCCCCAGTCCCCGGGGACGAGCAGCGGCTGGCGCATGCGCGCGGGGCATCCCCCCCACCCCACACACACAGGGGGAAAGCCCAGGTGAGGGAACGGACCCCTCCGCGCATGCGCGGTGCGTGGTTGCTAGGGCGAGCTGGTCTCCTTGGTAACTACTCGGAACTCCCCTTTCACAGCACCCCAGCCGGGGATTTCCCCGCTGCTAGTGCGCATGCGCGCAGGCCGGGATTCCGGGAGATGCAGTTTTTCTGCAGAACAAAGGCTGCCGCCTGGTCTTTCCGCTCCTGTCTGCGTCGTTTTTTATTTTGACACAGTGTCTGTGTATGTGGCTCAGCCTGGCTTTGAACTTACAGCAGTCTCCTGCCTCAGACTGGCTTTGGTCGTTGGTCTCCTCTGCAGGAACTGGCTCTGCAGTGGGCCCCACGCCCTTGCCCCCCCTGCTGGCGTCCTCCTTTGTCACCAGGGGAGCCCGCGGTCCGTGGGACGCCTTCCGCAGGGTGTGTGCCCTCCCCAGCGAGGAGAATCAGTTTACGGTCAACCTTGGTTAACCAGACCTTGCCTCTGATTTCCAACGTCGATGTGTGCAGTGTTTTGTCTGGACGCACGTGTCTGTGCATACACATGTGTGCGCGCCACGCGTGGATCTGGTGCCCTTGCAGAGCTCAGAAGAGGTCATCGGAGCCCCGGGCACTGTAGTTACAGTTGTGAGCTGCCATGTGGGTGCTGGAATCGAACCCGGGTGGAATCTTACCTACCGAGTCAACTCTAACTTCCTGAATATTTTTTTTAGAGGTCTCCATAGCCCAGGTTGACCTTGAACTCCAGGAAATCCTACTCCAGCCTCCCAAGAGCACAGCCAGAATAACCTTGCCTAAGATCTTAGTCGCAGCCAGGGTGGAGGTGAACACCATTTTATGGGGAGCTACCAAGGTCCGTTCTGTAGCTGAGGCTCCTTGGCCTCGCGTTCGTGACCCAGCAGCCTGCCCCTGTGAGTAAGCGGTGTATGCCGCTCAGGGGTGCAGGGCACACAGCCAGCTGTGTGAACGCCAGGCTGCTACGTCGCCGCCACGCCCCCTCATGGCGCCTTCCTGTTCCCTCCCTTAACCCTCACCGAGCCTCGCCCAGGGCTTCTCCAAGATGCCAGGGACCCTCAGTCCTGTTCCCGGGGTGCCCCTGGTGAACCACCATCCCAAGGCCTTGCTTAGTCGTTGTCTCTCCCCACAACCCATTTAGAATCCTGCAGCCCAAACTGGCCACTTCATCACCATAGGGCCAAGACGACCATGAACTGAGTGCCTCGAGTGCTGGGGTGGCAGGCGTGCGCCCCCGAGTGCTGGGGTGGCAGGCGTGCGCCCCGAGAGCTGGGGTGGCAGGCGTGCGCCCCCGAGTGCTGGGGTGGCAGGCGTGCGCCCCCGAGTGCTGGGGTGGCAGGCGTGCGCCCCCGAGTGCTGGGGTGGCAGGCGTGCGCCCCCGAGTGCTGGGGTGGCAGGCATGTGCCCCGAGTGCTGGGGTGGCAGGCGTGTACCCCGAGTGCTGGGGTGGCAGGCCTGCGCCCCCATGCCTAGTTTAGGATTTCTTTACTTTCCAGTCCGGGGCTGAGCCCAGGGTCTCACACATGCAGCCAAGTGCTGGTGCTCGGCCATGCCCCCGACCCATCCTGCCACACTGGTTTCCCACGGTCTACTACCCTAGACCATTTTCCAGCCATGTCCATTCACCAACACTCTCCCTTTAACGGCAGGCTAGGCCTTTGTCAGTGGGACCTCCTCTCTTGATGGGGTGTAGAACTCTTTCACACTCTTCAAAGCCCCACTTCATGAGATTTACATTTGATCAAAACCAACGCCCTTCACTGCAGTCCTGGCCCTTTGGAAGCTGGGGACACCTGCAGGGACCCGCATCTTTCTTGGTACAAGAAACAGATAGATCACCGGTCTTGAGGGTGACACAGTTGCTGTGTAGGGTGAGAAGGGAGCAAGTGGCAGGTAACAACTTCGTGTATGTGAGGTGTCACCACGGTAGGACCTGATAAGTCTCTCCACCCACCCCACCCATGCGCTGTTATCTCCTCATGATGGGTCATCTTGATGCCCTAGGACCACTGGGCAGGCGTCGAGCAGGAGTCAGTGCCACTTCTGTGGGCCGGAGGCTCCAGTTCTTCAGTAAGAGCTGCTGATTGCCATGCCCCGCCCACCACACGTCCTATCCAGCCGACAGGGATGTGGCCAGGGTATAGGGCAGCCTTCCACATACTGGCATGCAGTTTTCACTGCCTAAGGAGGCTGGTGGGTCTCCTCCAGACTCCCTCTCTGCTCTTCAGGGTTGACGCAGCTAGAGAAGGCAGTTCTGGGTTCAAATCCTATGCTCTTCCCTCTCATGGCCAATGGCCTCCACCTGTCAGCTCCAGCCAGCCCAGCACCTCATGCCTCACACCTCAGAATCCTGCCTCACACCTCAGGCTCGGGAGTAGTCTGCAGCTCCCCCTGCTGCTGTGTGGTCTCAAGCCTCAGCCACTTCCCAATCACCTTGCCCTGCTGTCCAGGCGGGGCCGGCAGGTCTGGACAGTGGTTCGATCATGGGCACCACACAGTCCCTCCCTTCACCAGAGGTCTCCACCACACAAGTGGACATGGGCCTCGGGCAGCCTCACCACAGCCTTTATTGGGCGGGGTGCTCAGCCGGGCTCCATAGGGCGCACAGGGGCTAGGTGTTGCTCAGAGCGGGGACCCTCTGGGTTGTTGAGGGTGACTGATGGCGCAGCCGGGAGTGCCCCCGGCTCGGAACTCCCTGGGTCCCCAGGCAGGCCTGGCTGGAGGGGGACGCCTGGACTCCGATGAGCTGGACCTGGACAAGCTGGACTCGAGCCTGGTTCCGTCACTTAGGCGCATTGAAGGGCAGCGCACGCTGGTTCATGGGGTTGTCGGGGGAGCGCAACCACTCCTTCTTCAGCAGCTGCTTCAGCTGCGACAGCCGCATGTTGGGGTTCTCCTGCTTCAGTCGTGGCAGCTGCACCTCCTCGAATGCGGTGAAGGCCGCGCGCATGCGGCGCTCGGGGTGCCGGTCGGCGTCCTCTGCCACACTGTGGGGCCTGGAGTCAGCGCCCCGCCCGGGTCCAGGCCCCGCCCCGCCCCGCCAGGCCCCGCCCCGGTCCAGGCCCCGCCCCCGCGGGCCCCGCCCACCTGAGCACGGCTATGGCGTCCTCCACGGTGCGAGCTTCCACGCTGCCCTCGTCCAGCACGCGCCGGTTCAGGTTCTCCTCCAGCGGCAGCTCCAGGTGGCTCTTGGCCTTCTCCACTGTGGGCACAGGGGCGGGATGTGAGCATGCGGCCTGGGCCAAGTCCTTAGCGACGCACCGCCCTGGCCCGTGCCTACCTGGCTCCGCGCGCTGCTCTCGGCGCAGGGAGTCCTCGATCTGCGCGCGCGTGACCTTGGCGGGCACCGCGCGAGGGGCCTTGCCGCCCTTGAGCCGAGAGTCCTCCTCCTCCAGCAGCCGCTGCGTCTCCTTCTTGCGCTCCAGCTGCTCCAGGCGTCTCTTCTCCTTCTCCTCCTGTGACAGCAACAGCGTCACCACGGGAGGCCCCAAGGGTGGAACCCAAACGGGTGCTGATCCTTCTTCTCCACCCCCGCCCGGGCACCCTTGTGCAGATGGGCCTGGGCAGCGAAAATGATTCACGAGGGTACTCCGTGAGCCTCCGCCCCAAACGCGGGGCAAGAAAGCCTGTCTGGGTTCGCAGTCAAAGGTATTTGAGGGCAGCTACTGGAGTCTGCCTCAGTTTCTCCCTAAGCCAGAGGCAGTATCCTCCTGAGGCTCCTCTGCCCTCAGCCAGGCCCTGCCACAGTGCCTTTGCACAGCAGCTGCCCTCAGGGAGTCCCCACAGCTTCTGAAGACCCCACTCCTGGTCTTGGGACCTCTTCTGTCGCGAGGGCAGAGGGCCTGGACCGGGTTGTGTGCCGGTAGATCCTGCCCCCAAAGAAGGAACAGTTTCCGGAAAGTTCCAAGAGCCCAGGACCAAGTAGTCATCAGTATCGAGTGGGAGACACAAAGAACTTCTGATCATGGTGTGAGCCTGGAGTACCCCGAGCTGCGGGAGAAGCTGAGGCAGGAGTGGCCGAGCGTAGGCATCCCAGGCCAGCCTGCGTCACGGAGACCCGGTCCACAAACCCTAAAGGCCAA